TTTGCGTTTAATTTCGTGAAATCGGCAGTACACGTACCGATTCTATTAAGAGAAAACGTGGGACGTAAATCATTGTCGTCTTGAAATAAACGTCACGAGAAACGAGAAAAATAAAAGTCGCATATAATTATTATGAAAATACGTAAATCATTTCCGTCTTGAAATAAACGTCCCGCGCGATGAATAATAAAAATAAAAGTCCCACATAATTATTATGAGAAGACGTAAATAATATTCGTCTTGCAATAAATATCCCGAGAGACGAGAAAAATAAAAATCACATAATTATTATGAAAAGACGTAAATAGTTTCCATCTGAAAATAATCATCCCACGAGACAAAAAGATATTTCTCGTAAATAATTATTATACAAAGACGAAAAAAATCTCTTAGAACAAATCTCTTAGAACGCTTTTGATCTCAAATATTAGGATAATAATTATTTTGGGTCTCTGGTTCTTTTTGAAAAGAAATAAAAAGGGTGAGAAAATACCATTCCAGATCCCTCATAAATCTAAATCGGCATAATTTTTGCCCATCAAAAATCTCATTATTGATTCCGTTGAAACCTTTTTTTTAATATCTTTATGCAGGTTTCTTAAGCTTAAACTGTTTTGTCATCTGAAGGGGTTTTTTTTCATAAAATCGTTTATTCATAAAAAACTTTTCAACTTAGTGAAAGTCTTCAAATATAATAAATAAATTATGTGGATTCCCGGTCACGCCGGCATTAAAGGCAACGAGCTAGCTGATCAGAAAGCAAGCAGAGTAAGCGAAAGCGAGCGAAAGCGGACGTGTTTTTTCTGCGCTCTGTGATTTTTTGGGCTAGATTGACCTTTTAGAGAACCAGAGCTATTGCACGCTTAAGGTGTTCAAAACAGTGACTTTATCTAGCTAAATGGCTATTAAAATATAAATAAATAAATAAGTAAACACAAAAAAACTCATTACTTAATTAAATGCCTTGTATTTGTGGACTAAGAGTCGAGAGAAGCGATAAAGCTAAAGTGCAATGTGCTAAGTGCAATGACTTTTTTCATTTAGGCTGTGTTGGTGTCACGTCAGCCGAAGTTGAGTTTCTACTTAGCTCGGCAAATCATTATTTTTGCAAAATATGTGCGGATATTCGTCGCAGATCTATCCGCCCCCCTCCTCCATATGCTAGTGTAGATGAGAATGTAATAACAACAAGCGAATCTCACTCGTATACTTTGGATCAAATGGACAATGCAAATTCAATGCCTAATGCGGACAGTGTAATTGAGAATGCGATGTCAATAAGTGTAACTAACGTGCATACCTCGGCACAAGTAAACAATGCAAAAACAATAGTGGTATTCATCTAAACCGATAACTTTATCAAGCAGATAATCTTATAAGTTTATGCACTCTGTTACATGAGCGACCCACACTCTCTTTTCGTTTACACATGCGACAATAGTCGTGTTTTCTTTGGTTATAAAGCGCAGTGTCACTAACTTTATACTACTAGCACGGGGATAAACAAATTATAGAAACTACCTCACTAAATTGGAAAAAATTATATTTACGAGATATCTATTTAAATAAATGTACATATAACATAAAGGCTATGTATTTGAAGCAAGTTATAAGAAACAATGGCAGAATGTCTGTTTGTGTATGAATTCATTTGTCACGGCTACCAAACTTTGCGAATTATCAGTGAAACAAAACAAACAGACGGGATAATAATTGAACCAGATCTCTATCAGGATCATATCGTTGTTGAATTTGCGTGCAAAATTTGTATGCGGATCCCGATTATTGCCTAAGAAAACATAGCNTTAATGTGTAATGAGAATAGCTCGCAAATCTCTTTGGCTACATTAAGTAGTGAACTTGCTGCGTTTAAGTCTGAGTATGCTCGCGCAATGCAAATGATTAGTGCTCTTAATGCAGACAAACAGCTCTTGTTAAACAAAACCGATGAGCTGCAATCGGAAATCAAAGCTATGCATACACGTCAGACCGAAGATATTGCCTCTGCCCTTGCCCTGCTCACTGCTGAGGTTAAAGATCTTCGTTTGTGTGTAAATGCATGCGAGTGCCGTAATAGAAACGTGATAAGTGCAAGAAACAAAAGCAAGCAAAAAACCTCTTCTGGCTGATTCACATACAACTTTCTTCGCTTTGCTTGATAGTTCTTTGCTTTGACATATAAGATCGATGTAGGCATATGCATGAGTATGCTCACATAAAAAACGTTTGAAGCAAAGCAAAGCAAAACGAAGCAAAATCTTGGGCAACTCTCAACTTTTGCCCGCTTTGGCAATCAGCTGTCGACATGTATCTTTTCTCGTGCGCTTGCATTTGCATTTAATGACAAAAATAGAGTAAATAGGAATTTTTATTGCTATTATTAATGCATATTCTTATATTGTTATCTATTTTACAGATAAAATATATGGAGGAAAAGGAGAACGCAAAAGCTGTCAAAGCGTTTATTGTAGCATACCTTCTGCGTTTCACGCTTTGTTGTCAAAGTTTGAACTGTCAAGCAAAGCGAGGAAAGTTGTATGTGAATTGCCCTTTCGTCGTCTTCTTCTTTGTCTGATTCTACTCTAATAAACAACTCATCGTCATCTACGTTGTCTGCTGATACACTAGCAGCTAAGGCGGGTCAAATGAGTGATCAACCCGCTATCTCAATACTTGCTTCTTATGCTGATGTTGCTAACAAGGCTTGTGTGGTTGATGATGACTATGCTGCCCCGACTTCTGCCCCTGCTGTACAATCTCAACCAAACGCTGATGCTCTGTCGATACATCGCTCATCACTCCCACCGGCTGAATCTAACTGGTATTCGCCTGCACAGTGGTCGCGAATGCAAAGAAGAAAGCCCAAAAAACAGAATACTGCCGACGTCGTCATTGGTGTCAACAAAAGCACTGATCTTGATGTAGTCGCATCCAAAAAATGGATCCATCTGTCGTCCTTCAAACCTACTGTTAGTGCCGTAAATATTACTTCCTATGTAGTGAAAAACGCCAAAATTGATAGCAGTCAAATTGCTTGCTTTCCTCTCGTTAAAAAAGACACTGATATTAATAAGCTAAGGAAAATTAATTGGTGTTTCGTCTACGCTCCTCGACAAGGTTTTAAATCCAACGTTATGGCCAGCCGACGTCAAAGTTCGACCTTTTCAACATATGCAAAATGCTACCGAAGAAAAAGAAAATGAGCATGCCTACACGGATAAAAATAATTCATAAAATTTTCGTGAACAGCGTTCACAAACCGTTTATGCAGCGCATTCATCAATTTTACTAAAATTATTCAATAGACGTATGAAGAAATACATAAGACTAATGAAGCTTTTATAATAAAGCTTATGAACTTATTCAAAAAGTTTGTGAATTATCATTCTAGAGGTGTATTCTCAATTGTTATGAATAGTTTTCGTAAAGCTTATGAAAACGTTCGCAAAGTATTCTAAAACTATTCAATGAAACTATGAAGCAATTCACAAGGGTTATGTATATGCTTGAAATATTTATGAACAATCGTTCTTAAACCTTGTTTTACCATTTTCTTGAATACTTTTAACAAATTTTACGAAAAAGTTCACGTAACCTTAGAACACTGTTCAATAAAACTATGAAAAATATGCATAACATTTCTGAATATAAAGTCATAAACTTTTCCTACAAACTTCATTAAATATTTTCATAGAGTATATTACATAGTTCATAAAATTTTGGAATACTATACGTAAAACGTATGAAAAAATTCATAGGACTTATGATACCATTCAAGGAATTTGTGAATCATAATTCATAAACTTTTTCTATAATCCTTACGAATAATTTTCATAAAGTTTATGTACGTGTTCTCAAACTTTCTGAATACGTTCACAAAATGTATGAATGTATTCACAAAGATTCTGAAAACTATTCACAAACATCTACGCATCCATTTTTAACAGTAATGCCAACTTGATTATAACACAAGGCAAAAAGGGAAAATTATTTCAACGAAAATTCTTTTCATTCTATTATATATTGGAATAAATTTCCGTAATCTCTTGTCAAACTTGGATTTTCGACAACGAAAACTATCCCATACATAAATCGTACGAATTTTTTCAGTTTGCGGCTTTAATTAAAGTCAAATCATAACTTTTTCAATATAAAGTATTTAGTATTCTTTATATTTGTGTTCTAAGGAAAATTTCGGTTGATGTATATTTACGCCATGGACTCGGAAAATATGTATGTATGTGAATGGATGGAATACTTATTTCTAAATTCGGTAAGTAGACCCCTATTCTTAAGCTTCGTATTTTCTTTTCTTTTAAAAGTTCAGAATAAATGCACCATTAAAAACCAAAAAGTTTATTTTTTGGTCAATAAAAAAAAAAACTTAAGTGTTTTTGCACATTTATAAGATATACATATATTTAAATTTTAGCAATGATAATTATCAAATTTTTTACTAAGGACACAAAAGAAAAACATTTTTGCCCGGTTTAGAAATGGCAGTGTTGGCATCACTAATTTGCTGGTTATTAGAAAAGTGAAGTGTGTTTTTGCGAAAAGTGCAAGTTTTAGTGAAATAAACAGGTAAAACGTGTGGAAATTATTAAATATTACCAATTAAAAATGATTTGCACACTTTGCCTAAAGGAATACGCAAATATTGACAATTATGTTGATCACCTAAAAAAAATTCACCTTCTGACCTCAAAAGATAGGTTGAGCTGCCAATTTTGTGACCAAGTTTTCAGTGGAATAAACATTTTAAAAATACATCTGAAAAGGCATTCGAGCAACGAATTGTGGTCACAACCTGCAAGAGGGTGCAGTAGTGCTCCAAGTGGTTTAAAGAGTGAAGATATTGCGACAGCTGCCGGTGCGCCACCAACTTCCTTCACGCAGCAAATTGTCTCAGCTGAAGATTTTAGTGTTGACAAAAAGGTAAAAGACCTTCATGTCAGTGTATTGCAATTTTCATCGTCCTTGCATGGGCGTAGCAACTTTTCAAGAAAAGACGCGACGGATGTAACAAATATGGTTAAAAATATGATAATGAATCCAATTTTGGATATTTTAAAAGGATTCGTTGAAGCAAAAATTGGACACCATTTTGACTTGAGATCTGAATTTTTGGGCATCACAAATTCATGCTCAAGGATCACTGAGTCAATAAAATCAGAATATATTCTTGCAAAAACACTGGCAACTAAAGGATACACCACCATCTTAAATGAAATTGTGATCAATAGGGAGCCAGACTTTGTTTTAAAGAAAGGTGTGCTTACGTCTGGTGAAAAGCTATCGAAAATGGCAATAATGCCACCAGCGACGTTGGTTAAATCATCCAGAGGAGTATTTTTTATACAGTTAAAGGAGAACTGTTTTCCAACGAACAGATAACTACATTTTTTATAAAGAACCAAATTCCTCGATAATGTCTTTAGTTATTAATGATTTGTTTCCCGCAATCCTAAGCCTTTTTCCAAATGAAAAGCTGAACTTCTACAGAACCGAAAAGAGAGGAAAACTGTATACCAAATATTGCTACTTAAAAAAAAGCTTCAAAAACCGTTTGTTTATAATTCCTGTACCTGAAGAAAATACCAAAGCTGATAAAATTAGTAAATGAAATTAAAAACTAGTTTGTTCGTTACAAGTTTATAAAATTTATGAATATGTACATTTTCAGCTCGCGATGATCATGCAGAAGAAATCATACAGCATCTTAAATACGACAATTTGACAGCAGAAGAATTCGAAAGCTGCTGGCAGGCCAGTGCAAATTATAGAATTCATCAAATAAAGGAAAAATTTAATAGCATTCAACAAGTTTTCGTAGACTGGCCAGAGTATAAAAAGCCGAACGGATATCGATTGGTAAGATTTTGATTTAAGGTTCCCTATTTGAGATATTATAAAAACTAACACTTTCGATGTTTTCAGATTGATCTAGACTTTGGTACGATTTTTCCCAATCATGATAATTTTCTTGTTGACTGGAAGCAAAAAGTTTTGAAGCTCTTTTTACATCTTAAGAGAAGTGAGTGCTTAAAGGACGGTGCCACAAAAATCATTATCAGCTCTATGTCCGAAGGGGATTTAGAAAAAGGTATGATTTCGTAAGTTGTACTTTAAGAATTTTCTCTAAGGGTAACAAAATTTTCTAATATACATACATTTTTGCTCTATTTTTTTAGATGAAACGTCCTTTGCTTTTAAGACTTTTTGGTGCCTACATGGATATCTTTACCCTACAGGACACGTTATGAAAAAGGATAATACTGGGAAAAGATGTACAATCAGATTCACCATAAAGGACTCTCAGGAATCGTATGCTTTTGTCGGACAAAGTCTTCAAAACCTAGATGATTACATTGATTTTTTAAGCCAACGTAAAGAAAACATACAGCCTTTTATCCTGTCGGTAGGAGACAACAATTACTCAAAATTCACTGAATTTTTTTTATATTTAGATGGTACAAAAATTCCATTCCAAAGCTTTTTACGCTGTATGGATATATGTTTCAAATCCTTTTATTTATTTAATGTGGAGTACCCTAAAGCTTCCACAACATTTTGGACATTTATTGAAGCTTACTTTTACAAACTAGCATTACCTCAAGGAAAAAAAACTTTGAAAATAAATATTCTGATGCAAGAACTTGAAGACTTCTAATTTAATGTACACTTTTGGTCAGATAATTAAGTTAGTTACATAGGAACTAGCTATTTTTCTTTTTTTATTATTTTTTTATAAAAGTCTAGCGCATTGTATAACAAGCACCTAACTTAATTAAGCTGACCACAAGTGTGTGTACATAAGCTATACATTTATTGCATATAAAAAGTTTTCATATTTATTTATAAAAAAAATCAGACTTATGTATATTAAAAAAAAATAATAATTAAAATTTTCATGAATTTCTATACATATCGAGCCCTATCCGACAGAAATGCATCTAAATGCTCTAGGAATATTTCTGCATCAAAAAAAAAATTTTGAAAAAAATGTCGCTTACGTTGTTTTGGCGGTTAGGGCTCGATATGTATGCATGTATGTAAATACAAAACAACCGTGTCATCCTAATTTAATGAAGGTTTTTAATTGAAGTTGGGATAAAACCGTGATACAATTTTGTAATTAAATACCTAAATGATAATAAGACTTCCAGAGCTCTGATTGGAAATTGGAGTTACCTTATCAGTACAAAATGCCTTATTTATACATATAAGTATATAGATTCTTTTAAAGCATTATTTTTGTTAGTGACAGCGAATTTAATGGACAAACCTTTTTTCTTTACATCATCAGCGATAGTTGATTAGATTGGTAATAATTTTCTATTTCGGCATCTGCTCGATATAGAATACGGTTTGAATCTGCCCTCAATTTTACTTGACGGTTTTGACTAATATTTTAGCCAAACCTCAAATGAATTCAATTAATGTCCGCAAAGGAAATGTATGCATAATATTTTATTTTATTATTTCTGTTAATACGAATTCTACCAATGAATTATAAAAATTTTTGTAAAAACAACAATTTTTAGACATTTATGAAAAAATAATAAAAAATTAAATAAACAAAGGCTTAATTAGCTGATCGGAAGGGTATGTATGTATGTGCTTATATTTATATTTTATCTCATTATTTCTGTTGATATCAATGAATTATAAAAATGTACATATATATATGTTACTTGTTCGCATAAATAAAAAATAATTTAATATATACAGATTAATTATTTTTCTAAGGAAATTTTGAGATACAATTTTTATGAAAATTATTCATAAAGTGTATGAATATTGTTCATAAATTACGTGAATATTATTCATAAAACTTGTGGATATCGTTCGTAAAGGTAATTAATACTTTCCATAGGGTTATAAATATTGTTCATGACGTTTGTGTGCACTGTTCACAAAGCCTATGAACGTACTTCGTAGATATTATGAATGCTTTCAAAAAGTTTATGAATGTGTTCATAAAATCTATAAATATGTTCATAAAGTTCATGAATATTGTTCACAAAGTTTACGAATGTGTACATAAAATTTATGGGAGCGCCTATAAAAGTAGTGAATACAGCTCACGAATATTATGAATGCATTCATAACTTTTATGGTTATAGTTCATGGTTTTTATATTTCGGTTTGTGGATATGGTTTAAGAACTCTGTTCATAAATTTTATGAAAAGATACATACGACGCATGAAGTCGTACATTGGTTCAATATTTATGATTATTTTCACGCGTCTTATGCACAAATTCATATATATTATGTACGTTTTTGGTTCCGTGTAGCAACTAACATCGAATGTTGCTGTTAATAGTTCTATTGCTCCTGTGAAAGTCCCTTGTTTGAAAGTTTACTTCCAAAACATTTCTGGAATGCGAACGAAGGCTAATGTGGTTCAGGCGTTTAGTGCGCAATTGGACTATAATATTATTGTAATTGTAGAGACCTGGCTAAACTCGGATTTTTTCGACAGTGAATTCTTTGATTCTAATACTTTTAACGTATTCCGCAAAGACAGGGATGCCGCTAAAACGGGCTGTTTTCGTGGGGGTGGTGCTCTGATTGCCATACATCGTAGGTTCCAGGCTTACCCGATTACACTTCGTTGTGATGACTCGCGGCTTGACCAGCTCTGTGTTTGTGTCAAAGGCTCCACGTCTTGTGGCTCCTTATATTTGATAGTATCATATATTCCTCCAAATAGTCCATTTGACTTGTATAAGGCACATGCTGACAATATTGTCTCTCTAACTTTAAGTGAGGTAAATGAAAACCATATTTGTGTTCTTGGAGATTTCAATTTAAATAATGTTTTGTGATCTAATAATTTTTCTAAATCTGGCCTTATTCCAAATAATATTAGTGCCGCGCACGAATCGTATTTTATTGACAGTCTTTTAAGTCTTAACCTAGTTCAAATTAACAATTTCTTTAATAAGTTGAATAAGATTCTTGATCTCATTTTTGTTAGTGACAACATAAATTATACCTTGTCTGAAAGTGGTTCCTCCATTACTCCGGCTGGTATGCACCATGTTTCTCTAGATTTATACGTTGAGTTTTATAACTTTGCTGTTCCATATTCCGATGATAATTTATCGTTTAACTATTTTGCTTGTAATTTTAAAATTCTGGATAACTTAATAAGTAATACCAATTGGAGTGAACTACTTTCGGATATGGATATCTTTAGTTCTTTTTCTACTTTTAAAACTACTATGCGTGAAATTTGCTTACGGAATATACCAGTTAAGAAAAAAAAACTATATAAACGACCTTGGTATACTAAAGATCTAAAAAAGCTAAAAAATCTTAAAAATAAGCTTTACAATAACTTTAAACTAACTAAGAATCATTCGCTCTTTATTAAATATCAACATTACGCTAAATAGTTTACGAATTTAAATAAACTTCTTTATAATAATTATATACGCAATGCTGAGTCCGACATTAAATCTAACCCTAAGCGCTTCTGGAATTTTGTCAAAGCAAGAAAGGCATGTTCGAATATTCCTTCTGCGGTTTTCCTTGAGGATAAATTTGCGTGTACCCCTAGTGAAGCGGCTAATTTGTTTGCAAAATTTTTTAAATCAAATTTTGTTTGCGATGATGTGGACTCTCACACGGATTTTTCAGCCGATATATCTTCATTGCTTGATTTTGGCTCCTTGTGTCTTTCCGCAGAGGATGTTTCAAAGGGGATCCTTGCACTTAAATCCTCTACACATACGGATATTGATGGCCTTTCGGCTCTCTTATTAAAAAGTTGCCCTGCGATGGTTCAGCCTCTGTGTTTAATATTTAATAAATCGCTTTCCTCTGGGATTTTCCTGGATGATTGGAAAATAACCACCATTACCCCTATTTTTAAAAGTGGTAAAAAAAATGATGTTCGCAACTATCGGCCTATTTCTAAGCTCTCAACGATTTCTAAAGTTTTTGAACACATAGTTAAAGATAAGATTAACTTTGCTGTTAAATCGCTTGTTTGCCATAATCAGCATGGCTTTGTCGGTGGCAGATCTACGGCTACCAATCTCACAGTTTTTAGTGAATATTGCATTGCGGCCCTTTCGTCCGGCCTTCAGGTNTTAACTTTGCTGTTAAATCGCTTGTTTGCCATAATCAGCATGGCTTTGTCGGTGGCAGATCTACTGCTACCAATCTCACAGTTTTTAGTGAGTATTGTATTGCGGCCCTTTCGTCCGGCCTTCAGGTGGATTGCATTTACACCGACTTCTCAAAAGCTTTTGACAAGGTTTCACACAAGATTTTAATTGAAAAACTAGCTTGCTTAGGGCTCCATTCTATTTTCTTGGACTGGATTAATTCCTACCTGTGTAATAGGCGGTGCGTAGTTTCCCTTGAAGGTATCAACTCAGAGCCTTTTTTAGCGTCTTCTGGGGTCCCTCAAGGTAGCATCCTAGGCCCTCTTCTTTTTGTGTTATTTATTAACGACGTGACTAGTTGTTTTTCATTTGCTAACTACCTACTTTACGCCGATGACTTGAAAGTATTTTCGACAATCAAGGATACATCAGNCGACGTAACTAGTTGTTTTTCATTTGCTAACTACCTACTTTACGCCGACGACTTGAAAGTATTTTCGATAGTCAAGGATACATCGGATGCATTCTTGCTTCAACGTGATCCCGATAGCCTTTACACATGGTGCCTAAAATCTCGTATTTCACTCAATATCAAAAAGACCTTTAGTGTTACATTTTCCAGACTACTTAATCCCTTAAATACCATTTATCGTATTTCGAACCGCGATTTGCTTTGTGTCTCTGAAATTAAAGATCTTGGGGTTATCTTCAATTCCAAATTTTCATTTAGTAGTCATGTCATATTAACTATATTACCTCTAAGTCCTACTCTGTACTTGGCTTCATTAGACGGAACGCTACTAAGTTTTCTGACCCGTATACTATGAAATTACTTTATACATCATATGTTCGTTCTCATTTAGAATATGCGGTTGTTGTTTGGAGACCTAGTAATCAGCTTTACAGTAATAGAATTGAACGTGTTCAAAAAGTATTTTTGAATTTTGCCCTACGCTCCCTGAGATTTCAGACCCCGATTCCATCGTACGAATCACGTTTATCGCTAATAAATTTAAAAACTTTAAATAATCGTAGGACAGTGTTATCTCTATCTTTTACACACGGTATCATTAATGGACTTATTGATTGTCCCTACTTGCTAAATAGGATTACTTTCAATATTCCTCGGCGGACCCTGCGCAACTTTTATCCCTTCTACGGGGAGAATCACAAAACCATCTTTGCGAGTAATGCTCCAATTGCGCGAGCTACACGGGATCTTAATCTCATTGCTAACTCGGTAGCTCTTGACTTCTCATTGCCGAAGGGCTCTTTTTTAAATCATTTGTATACCA